TAATGGTCTGAAGAAAATACATCAGGAAGCTTCTGTGTTTCTCTCTCTCTCTCTCTCTCTCTCTCTCTCTCTCTCTCTCTCTCTCTCTCTCTCTCTCTCTCTCTCTCTCTCTCTCTCTCTCTCTCTCTCTCTCTCTCTCTCTCTCTCTCTCTCTCTCTCTCTCTCTCTCTCTCTCTCTCTCTCTCTCTCTCTCTCTCTCTCTCTCTCTCTCTCTCTCTCTCTCTCTCTCTCTCTCTCTCAATAAAAAACAAAAGGGACACTCAAAATTAAAAAGTAACAAATTCAAAATTAAAAGGAAAATACTCTCACAATCCAGACAACACTGCTATGACATGCTGCTGCTGCAGTTCTCAAAAACAATGCAACAGTCAGAGACAGCTTCAACTTAACATTTTAGGTGTCCAGTATTTTCTGAATTTTTTTTTTTAACCGGACAGGAGGAGAAAATACTAGACAATCTGGGTCTATACCGGACCCCTGGTAACCCTAATCTACTACACTCATGTAGGCCACAGCTGCCTACTGTTGGGTTTCTTCAACCTTCTTGTGAAGAATCTTGTGATAGCCACTGTCAGACAGGACTACGTAGGTCACAAGTCTAATCCACTATGCAACTTCTACACTTCTTTAGACCTTTTTATTTTTAGAAGATTGTTGAGGGATTTTGTTTTGTGAGCTTTAGGATCCAGTGGCAAATTTTCAAGAATGTATAGATCCTTGTAGGTATAAAATAACCAGGGCTGAACAAATAATTGAGCCAGAAGAGCCGGCGCAGAGCGATCTGCACATGCGCAGAACCTCACGAAACAGCGCAGCTAGAGAGCGGGACTCGCCGCCATTTGGCGAGCCCTGAAAATAACTATAATTGCACTTATTGGTCTGCAAGATCTGCCCCCGAGTCCCAGTAACTATTAAGGAATTTTTTATCCACACAAGGCCTCATCTATCAGACTTATTCTATGGACAAAGAATAGAAAGCTAACTCATTGTCCTAGACGACAAACTGGACTCTATGGAAATTTTTTTAAAGCTTCCTTAGAAAACTGTTCATCTGGAGAATAAAATTACATGGTTAAGGACAAAAACAGTTTATAAATGTCAGGAATGCACTTACAAACAAAGTATTTCTAGGATATTAGTTAACCAAATACACTGAAACAGTAAAGAATTTTAGAATAAAAAGATTCCAGTATTTGGACGTTTATCTACATTCAGGATTTCAGAGTTATGCCTCGAATAATAATTAATGACATCTTCCCTCAATAGTCTATTTTTTATTCGTGTAATTAAAAACATGCCTCACTGGCACAACTCCAGTGATGAACAAATACACATTATTCCACTGCCTCAAGAGTTACAGCTTATAAAAAAGAGAAATCATATGTCTTTGATTTTAGAGACAGTTGAAACCTGGTAGGGATGTAAAATCCCATTTAAATAGTTAACAAGTTAAACATTACATTTAACCGGTTAACTGGGATCTTGTGGCAGAGCTGGCTGGACTGCAGCAACCCACCCACACACATGGATATGCCCAACGGGAGGCTCCTCCGCCCTCAGTGCATCCCTAATATGTGTATAAAAATCTTAATAAAACCATGTTACAAAGTTATAGACAGAATAAGTGGCCTACAACTAAAGTGCAAAACTATAATGCTATTAGGTGCTTTCTGTACCATAATGCACATCTTTTTATCCTGGTTGCTTCTTTTCTTAACATACTCTGGGAGCTGCTTCACTTTAAAGAAAATTCCGTATATTACAAGCTTGATGTCATACGTGACTGATAATAATGTTAAATCACATCCATGGATTCATGATTTATACAAAGTATGACACTACTATTCATTTTTTATTGGGTGATCATCTACTTCTAAAATGACCTTAAATTGAAAAATATGGAAGGAGACTTACATTTAACCAAATATTCTTGAGAGTTTAAATATAAACTAAAATGTAAAAAGTACAAAGTAGCATACAGTGACAGAATTAATTCTATTTAGCTTTGCAGTAGTATGCTAAGTTCCTGCAAATCTGGGGGGTTAAGTTTGCAGACAGTAAAAAAATATTCAAGATGGAGTTAACTCCAAAGCTGACTGTGAAGGATTACAAAGGCTGCGTCCAGACTCAAGGGTTTTTTCGAAAAAAATAGCCTTTTTTCAAAAAAAACTTCACCTGCGTCTAGACTGCAGCCGCATTCTTTCGAAATTAAATCGAAAGAACAGGGCTTTTCTTTCGACGGCGGTAAACCTCATTTCACGAGGAAGAACGCCTTTTTTCGAAAGTGCTCTTTCGAAAAAAGGCGTTCTTGAATGCCAACAGGGCTTTTTAGAAAGAGAGCATCTAGACTCACTCGCTGCTTTCTTTAGAAAAAGCGGCTTGCTTTTTCGAAAGTACTGCTTGCAGTCTAGACGCTCTTTTTCGAAAGAGGCTTGCAGACTAGACATAGCCCAAGGGATCTCGCTAAACTGGGTGACTGGGAAACAAAATAGCAAATGAAATTCAGTGTTGATAAATGCAAAGTTCTGGGAAATCATAATCTCAAGAATACACACAAAATAATGGGATCTAAATTAACTGTTCCCATTCATGAAAGCTCTTGAAGATACTGTGGATAGTATTCAGAAAATATCTATTCAATAAGCAGCGGCAGACAAAAAAAAGTTCAAGTCTGGAACCATTAGGAAAGGAATAAGACGACAATAAATGCCACTATCTACATCCATAATACATCTATAGGCGGCCCCCGGCTTGCAACGCGATCGGTTCCTGGGGAAGTGTCACAAGTTGGGGGCATCGTAACACGAACCCTCATTTACGATAAGCATCTTGAGCAATTGTAAATGCAGGCCGAGGACATAAGTCAGGGGTTTTAGGCCCTTTCTTCACTTACAAAAATGGTATAGCCAAAATACTGTGCACAGTTCTGATAGTCCTATCTCAAAAACAGATTTTTTTAGAAATGGAAAAAGAGAGCGAGAAAAGCAACAAATGTGATTAAAGATATGGATCATCCTTCCTATGAGAACAGATTAAAAAAAAAGACTGGGATTGTTCTTTGAAAAAGATGACTATGGGGCTGGATATGACAGATCTACAATATTACAAATGGCATGGAAAAAGTGAATTAAGAACTATTATTTACCTCTACAAATAACAAGAACCAGGGATCACCTACTGAAATTAACAGGATGCAGGTTTAGTACAAAAAAGTACTTCATGTGATGTACAGTCAACCTGTTGAACTCACAGATGGGGATGAAGGCCAAAAGTATAACGAGTTAAAAAACTTATATAAGATCATGACTCTCCATCATCTTTGGCAGAACAAAAAAAGACAGTGGCGCCACCCCTGGACGTGCTGGAGAGGTGGTGCTACAGCTGCTGCTGAGGACTGGGCCCCCATATCCTTTGCCCCCACCCCAAAATCTCCATGCAGGGTCCCACTGGGGAGCCAGGAAGCGCCGCTAGCACCAAGCCCACCTACTCTACAATGGCTGCTAGGAGAGGTGCATGCCCTAAGCTGAAAGGATGCAGGGATGTTGAGAAGCCAGGAACTGGAGGGAAGAGCAGGGATTCAGAGGGGAATGAACTGAGGCTTTAGGAGAAATGGGAAAGGAAAGAAGGGACAGAGAGGCACAAAGCAGAGGCCACATGGCTGAGGGAGGAGGAGGGTGGCGTGATGTAGAGCAATGTGATGATGTCACTCTGTCATATCACAGGAATTTTTTTGTGTGTGTATATGTACAGAGAGAGAGAGAAATACAGAAAAGTTATCCAGCCCAGGGGGGAGAACAGAAGCAGTACAACAGTATACATTGTCTCACCAAAAGCCCAGAGTCAACAGAAAAGTCCCATTAACTATAATGGCTTTGGATCAAGCCCATATAGCTACATAGTACAGAGAAAGATATCCATTAAGCAGTGTTTATAGGGGGGGGGGTTTCACACTGTTAACCATACATTTAAAAGCAAATTCAGTAAGTTTAATCACAGTGACCTCTCAAGCAAATTTTCTATGATAAAATATATAAATTAAACACTAAGGGTGTGTCTAGAATACTGAGTTTTGTCGACAAAAGTGGACTTTTGTCGACAAAACTATACCAGTGTCTACACTACCGCTGAGTTCTGTCGACATAACGTCGACAGAACTCAGCAGTTTTGTCGACGCTGGTAAACCTCATTTTACGAGGCATAACACCTTCTGTCGACAGAGTTCTGTTGACAGAAGGTGTTATTGTCTGTAGGGTTGCGTCTAGACTACAGGGTTTTGTCAACAAAGCAGCTTGCTTTGTCGACAGAACTGAATGTGTCTCGACGCTCTATGTCGACAGAAGTTTTGTCAACAGTATCTGTCGACAAAACTTCCGTCGACAGAACCCTGTAGTCTAGACGTACCCTAATAAAGTACCACTGTGCCAGTAAGGAATTTTAATCTATGAATCAACTATTTCAGATCAGCAAAACAGACAAATCCAGCAATTCATTTAAAGTAATATTTATTCTTTATAGTTTGCTGTGGTGAAAGTCAGGCACAAAAAATCTAGTTGAAGAGCAAAAGCAATAACTCCTATATTTCATATGAATTGCCAAATTGAGCTCTGCCAACAGAATGTACTCCAAGAAATTTTCATTAGTCACAAAGATAACTTACTAGCTAATGTTTGTAATTTTAATGCAACCCTAAAGGAGTGTCTACTGTATATTAGAAACTACGACAAAGTGGGCTCCCGCAATCCATAATAAAAGTTAATAGAAGGAATGAACCAAGTATTATCCCACATACACTTTTTAATATTCCTTGGGCAAAGGTCTTAAAATAAATTACAATTAGATGATTTTCCACAATCCTTAGGATTTAGCAGACTTCATCTTAATTTTCATTAGTATTTTCATAACTGAACTGTGGAACATTAAGAATGTCATACTACTAACAGTTTATATCAAAAGTCCACTGATGCGGCACAATCTTTGCATTGCAACAATTTCCATCTTACCTTGCCTGCCTCTCTTTCAAAGTCGACATATTCCCGGGTCGGTGTCTGTCGCTGCTCCCCCTGCCAACTGGCCGGAAAAAACTGGAGAGACAGATTGGTTCCTGTGGCCACAAAAGCCTTTTAGAAAAATCAATACAAACAGGATCAGGGAGAAAGACATTACATAAATTATGCAGGAAGTCATTTATTTTTACATCAGTTTATGTCTTAAGCCAGGCAGCATAGAGAATACTTAAGAGTCAAAAACATGCACTCATCATTTTTCTTCAGTATTAAGTTACAAACATCTGATTCCATTTTGACAACATTTGCCATTGGCTGCTTCAGATATAAAATGCAACATGGAATCAATACTTTCTTTCAAATCAGTTTTTGCTGACATTAGAATCTATTATTTCAGAATTCTGTCAGGAAATCTCATACCACCAACTCACTACCAAAACCTACTAAAAAGTGCTCGCATGTTGTAAAAAGAAGCAATTTTTCCCTAGTTATAAGAATTTTAAGAAGTGAGCTGCAAAGACTTGTTTCTGGGAGCACTGATTTTGAATAAAAAACTCCAATTTCCACTGAAAATAAGTTTCATTTTCATAAGAAATTTAGACTCACACATATCACAGCAATTACAGTGGGTATTTAGAAGTAGAATTCTGATTCACTATTTCAGTTATGATACGGTACAGAGTATAGAAATGCATACATGATTACTCACATACACCAAAACATAATTTTAGTATCAGATAAGGTAACTTGCAGTCAAATTTCTGGACTGACTGCCATTATTCTATTAAATTTAAAAGACTACTAATCCAGAAAACACTTTATTCATAAAAAGTACATAAAATAAAGCTCAAAATAATTTGACTTTATAGAGATGATTTTCTGAGAGAGTCTAAAATAAATTTTGCCTCTAAGCAACTCCAAATTCAGCAAGTTAGTGATAATAAACCATCACTCAAGATATTGTTCACTCTGTGTCATTTTGTGTAAGTCACTACAGTAGAACAGAGTCAAAAGATCAACATCTCCCACTTTGAAAATGAAGTCTCAGAGGGGTAGCCATGTTAGTAGGTATCTGTAAAAACAATGAGTCCTATGGCACCTTAAAGACTAACCGATATATTTGGGCATAAGCATGTATCTGACAAAGTGATTTTGACCCACAAAAGTTTATACCCAAATATATCGGTTAGTCTTTAACGTGCCACAGAACTCCTTGTTTTTGAAAATGAAATCTGCTTCGCTCTGACATTTTTGTGGCAGAAGAGACTAATATCCTGTGATTAGGTTTCACCTAATGACTTTCTCCTATAGGCAGTTTTTGAGCATTCCTATTAAGCCAAAACAGACAGTCATTAAAATTGATCACAGGAATCATTAGTATAAAAGTGATATTGCAGCAGTGTATTCTCTGTTTAGAATATGCAACAAAGAAAAACATTTTGAATAGAATAAACGTGTCATGAAATGCTAGACAGAAGTGTTACTTAAGGATGTACTCCATCAATAGGTCAAGTTAGGGATGTAAAACCCCGTTTAATTGGTTAACTGGTTAAACATAGGTGGAGAGCTGCTCCATACACCACCAGTTAACTTGAACTAGCAAGCTCAAGCTTACTAGTTAATTGGTTAAACTTTCACATCCCTACTGGTAACATGTAAACCATAAGAATAGAACTAGAGCCATCATCATCAGAACTCTGATGTTTCTTTACAATACATTATTTTCCAAATGTATAGTTGGCTCATATATAAACACAGTATTTTGAAAAACAGTTTCCTAGATTTAAACACTGTTCTGAATCAACAATGCACTAACATCAAACATGGTCAGGCAGCTTTACTGCCAAACTCTCAGCACTTTCAGCCTTTAAAGACCAATGCTTTTATTAAAAACATGCACACACTAATACAAAACACTGAAAGGACTGACATCTGAATTTTGCAACTTTCCAGGTTACACAAGTTTATGAAGACCCATGGAAGCTTAGCTTTATAATAGAACTCTATATGAGGGAAAAATCTAGTCTGAGGCACCAAGAGAAGGCATCCTTACACAGGAAAAGATTGAAGTAGTGGGGGAGAAATAATAGAAAAGACAAGAGAAAATATGAATTCACGCCAGCTCCCAAAGGCCGCTGGAACAGTGCAAGCTTAGCTTGGCCCACAGACCATCTAAAAATACTGATACATTTATCATGTGAATTTATAGAAGCATTATATTTTTTTCCCAAACCAAGTATAATATAGCAATAGTTCATGTGCAAAATTCAATAGCCCATCTAATGTATCATGTAAACATGGCTCTTTTCGCCAACCTCCCCTCTCTCTCTCTCTCACACCCCCCCCAACTCTAGTGTGGGATGCCCATCCTACTCTCATAATCACCAGAAAACCATGTCTGGCTACTGTTGATATGTACATAATAAATCAGTGATGTATTGACCATCCATAATCAATAGTGTTTTGTAGGGAGCTAGCAAGAAGCCTACAGTCCCATAAACCAGCAGTTCCCAATCAGTGCCAGGTGGCAAACCACTGGCTGCCAGGCCATGGGGACCACAGCTTGGGTACACGGTCTAGCGCCTCTCCTCCTACCACAGCTTCGGGAGAGGCATGTCCTGCCTTGCCTCTCAGCCAACCAGCGCTAGGCAGGAGCAGGGCTTCCTACCAGAGATAGAAGAACAGTTTGCTGCAGGACAGCCTTAGAGCAGCTGTGATCCAAGCAGCAGTGCTCAGCTGGTGGCTGGGAGGCAGTGCAGGGTAGGCATGGAGGGCAGGGCAGGCACTGGGGGCAGGGCTAGTACTTGAGGTCTCTGGGCATGGGGAGCTGGCACTGGGAGGCTCTGAGGGCGGGGCTAATATTGGGGACTGGGGGCTGGCAGTGGGGAGGCTCAGGGAAGTTGGTTGCAGTGTGGCTCTGAAAACAGGAGGCTGGCACGGGGGGGGTCTTGTGGTGGGGAGCTGGCACTGAGGCATTTGGGATGGGGGGTTTGCACTGGGGGACTCTTGAGGGTAGGAGGCTGGCACTGGGACAGTTGGGTCCAGGGGACTCCGGGGTCAGTGGCTGATGCTGGGGTCAGGGCTGGGCATTGGGGGGCTCTGGAGGCTAGGGCCCCCAGAATCACTGTGAACAGACAGCTTTAGCTGCGGCTCTAGGGGCCGGGGCTTTTGGCAAATACAATGAACATGCAAATGTCCAAATAAAATGGTACCGGTCTGCCAAAAGTTTGTGAATAGGTTTGCTGGTCCACAGTATAAAAAAGGTTGGGAATCACTGCCATAAACCCTATTTCTGACTGAGCTCTAGAAAGGAGAGAAAGGTGTCAATCCAGGGCTTTTCAAATTATTCCTACACTGATCAAATGTCAGCCACAGAAGTAATTCCTGTCTTCCATTCTTGGCAGGATGTCATTCCCATGAATCTGACTGCCACAAATGACACAGCGAGTGGAAGCATGATGACCATTTAACATCTAAACCCGTGGTCACCAACCAGTAGATTGCGATCTATCGGTAGATCTCGGAGGCTCTGAGAGTAGCTTTTGAGCCCTCTCTGAACTGTGCGCATGCGCAGTATATTTACATTAGATTTCCTCATTTGAGGAGCAGCTACTCACCGAGCAACAGCACAGGTGAGTAGCTGCGAGGAATGGTGGGAATTTTTTTTTTTAAAATAGCAGTATAAGGATTGGGGATAGCAAGTGCTGGAAAAGAGGAGAATAGAGAGGGCGGGGCTTCAAGGAAGGGGCGGGGTGGTAGATCTTGGCTTGGTCTGTCATTTAAAAAGTGATCTTGGGTGTAAAAAGGTTGGAGACCACTAAACCAATATTATGCACACAAACTAAGAGAATCAGGCCACAAGATCAGCATTTTTATGCCAAAGTTATAGACTGATTTTCTTCAGGCCAGACAGCCAGCCAGCAGTTGTAGGTTGGGTATGGCCCTGACCCTTTTAGCTCTTGGCTTTTGTCACAGTGTTCCACTTTACACAAAATTTCCATTTGAAGTTAAAAGATTTACCATAAAAGATTTATGGGTAATTATAAAATATGTATAAGCAAGAGACCAAGACTATTTCAATCTCCTCAGAAAATATGCTTAATACAGAGTTTTTGAGGTTTTAAAGATCAAAAGTAGTTTTATGGATCAATAGACTGTAAAGGTTACATTTATTTTTCTTTTCCAAAGAGCTTTTCATTACCTAATAGACTAGAATAACTTGTTCAGAACCATTCATGCTAACTGTGTATTTATGTACATTAAGAAGGGGAGTTATTTGGAAGATTGTGGCAATAGGTATTCTCTCGCCTCAAAATGCCAAAACCAATATATCACTGATAATTTAACACATCTCAGCCAATGACTTGTTTAATTTTAAAAATAAATTTCATAACATGATCATTTTGGTCTGAAGTTAAAGAATTGTGACTTTTGCATGATGCATTTATGTCCCAACCACATTTTTATATTACTTCTGGACACTGTCCTCATAAGTTACAAACCTCCTTAAGTAGAAATGAGAATAAATCCTTTATCTATAGCAAAATATCTGCATACCTTTTTTTCCCCTGAATTAATTGGCTGGTTTTTAAAACTTTGATCATACTAAACCCTCTCTTTCTAAATGGACATGTAACAAGCAATCAGACTTACTGGAGCAAACCAGATGTTTTAGGTCAAGAAAATACGAAGCCATTTCCTATTATTAGAGTAGATAGAAAAACTATGTGCAACAGGCATTACCGGATATTTTAAGGGGCAGAGTTCTGGCAGGGAGAGCAGGCAGTCATAAAAATGACACGGTAAAGTGACAGTAATTTCCCATTTTACAAAAGAATTGTTCACAAACTGCATTATAGTTGTAACTAATTATAAACCTAGATCTGAAGTTTTCAGTTAAGTATTCAGTTACAGACGAATCCTGTGCATTGCCACTGATCCAGGAATCTTAAAAGCTAGTAAAAATGTATGTTTTTCTCCATTGATAATTTCTTCAACCGCACTTTTTTTAAAAAATAAAGAAAATCACGTTCAGTGACATGATAATTTAAACAAACCCAGATTTGCCATGCAGGGGTTTGAAAAATATCTACTTTTTCCCCCCTATAAATACTATTAGAATACTTCCCTCTCCTATTCACAAATTAAAATACAGTAAAATTGGTGTAAAGTTATATTCCACTACGTACTCTGTGCATTAAAAAATTTGCTAGTTTTACTGTGTAGTAATGTAGGTATATGGTAAGTATACGAAATGGTTTTATTAAGCCAAATATATGCCCTAAAAAAAATGGTAAACACCTCTTCCCACTTGAAATAAACCCTAAATGAAAAGAAAAATTATGCCACCATTTTCATTGTTTTAAAAAAAGAACTGGTGACTTTTCGATATGCATGTTTTAAGGAACTGTGCGAATAACAAGGAGTCCTGTGGCACCCTATTGACTAACCGATTTATTTGGGCATAAGCTTTTGTGGGTAAAAACCACTTTGTCAGATTCATTTAAAAAAAAAAAAAAGAAAACTTTGTCAGAAGTGTGTGACTGGATGCATCTGACAAAGTGGTTTCCACCTAGGAAAGCTTACGCTCAAATAATCTGTTAGTTTATAAGGTGCCACAGGACTTCTTGTTATTCATTTCATTGTTTTTGCAAAACAGACTAACACGGCTATCCCTCTGGCACTTCTGCAAA